ATATTCCCATCTGATATCTCTGCCTGAGGACTTTTTAAAATTTATTATGGGAAGGTTTGCAGGTGAGGAGTTCTTTGAGCTTTTGTATGTCTGGAAAAGTATTTAGCCTTTACTTTTGAAACATATTTTTTCCAGGGCTAGACTAATTGGACAGATTTTCCCCTTTCATTATGTTAAGGATGTTACTCCACTGTTTCCATGCTTGCATTATTTTTTTGACAACAATCTACTGTATTTTGATTTTTGTTCCTCTAGGCATTATGTCCTTTTCCTCTGGTTATTTTTCTCTTCATGACCAGTTTTGAGCAAGTTTGATTATGGTGTGCTTTGGCACATTTTTCTTCATTTGTTTTGTGCTTGGGGCTCATTGATTTTGGAGTTATGGGTTTATAGTTTTCATCTTCCAACATTTTTTTTTCTGTGTCCTTCCTTTCTTTTCCTTTGGAGATTCAAATTACATGCATATTAAGCTGATTGAAGGTGTCCCATGGGTCACTGATCCTCTATTATATTGATCCTTTTTTATACTGTTTCATTTTCAAAAGTTTCTATTGCTATGTCTTCAAGTGTACTAATCTTTTCTTCTGTGATGTTTAATCTACCATTAATTCCATCTGGCACATTTTTCCTTGTATATATTGTAGTTTTATCTCTTGCAGTTCCATTTTGATTTTTTTTTATTTAAAAAGTCTTCCATTTATCTACTTACTTTTGTATTTATGAGTGAGATTGACATAGCTTTTTTTTTTTTTGGTAGGGCCATTTTTTTATTATTTTAGAATCAAGGACATTCTAACCACATAAAATGAGTTGAGATACTTTTTTATTTTTATTTTTTTATTTTCTGGACTATTTGGCAAGAGTTTTATTTACTAGAACTCAGTTGTACTGGTAGAACCAATTGGCATGGCATTTTGTTGTGGAACATATAAACTACTGATTAATTTTTAAATAGTTTAAAAAGATCTTTCAATTGTTTTACTTTTAGTTGAGCCAATTTTGATGTTTTAATATCTAGAATTTATCATTTCCATATAATTTTTTCACATTTTTTAAAAAAGTTTTAGAAACAATACACTCTTCCATCAGTATAATTGCTGTAGTTTCTGTAGCTATGTTTTCCTTTGCATTACTAATACTTTAAAATTTTATTTCTCATTTTAAAATTTTATTTTGTAGGGTTTATTATATTTTGTTAGACTTTTTTTTTAAATGCTACTATTTGCTTTTGATTATCATCTCTATCCTGGTTTGTTTTCTATTTTATTATTTCTGATCTTATGTTTCTCCTACTTATGTCACCTCCGTTCTCCTTTTTCTCCTCCTCCTCTTTCTCCTCCTCCATTTCTTCTCCCTCTTCCTCTTTGTTCCTTATATCTTTAAAGTGAGATACTCGGCTCACTAACTCTGAGGCTTGCTTCTGATCTAATATGTGCATTAAAGCTTTCTCTCTAAATATTTTAAACTTGATCCCACAATATTTTAATACTTATTTTTTGCTAGTTAGTTTTTTATGTTTTCTGGTGACAGCTATAATGCCTTCTTTTAGTTGTTCAGATGTACCTTTCCAGATATCTGAACTTTTTGGGATTTCTAATGTTCTTTAGACATTACTAGTAAACTCTTGCACAGTGTATTAGAGATTGTCATAGTCATTTCTCCAACACTTTGAAATTTATGGAGTCTTTATTTATGGATCAATTTGTGCTCGACTTTCATAATGGTTTTGTCTGCTTGAGAAGAATGGAGTGTATTCTTCAGTAGTGGTGTTCGTTATTGTGCAGTGTCATTTATATCCATTAGATCAAGCTCGTTAATATATGTCATCCTTATTCTCTCTTTCTCAGTTACTGAGAGAGGTGTTGGCATCAAGGTTATTCTAGCCACATAAAATGAGTTGAGGAACTCTTCCTTTTTATTTTCTGGAATGATTTGTGCAAGAATAACATTTTATTTTGTTTTTTGTTTTTTTTTTACTAGTAATGTTTGGTAAAACTCATATGTTGAATAAAATCTCCCATGATGAGGTGGGTTTGTCAATGTTGCTTTTCAGTTTTGTCACTTTTTGCTTCAGATATTTTGAAACTAGATTCTAGATGCATGCACATTAAGACAGTGTTGTCATTATGTAGGGACCGCATTATCTTCATGAATGCTTTATTCCTTGCAGTCCATAGCTGTTTTTTGGTGGGCAGGGATATCTTTTATTCATGTTTTGATTCCCAATTTATATATATTTTATAGAAATATAGGTGAATTTGTAAACAGTATGTCACTGAAGTAAAATTTTTAAAAAATCTAGTATGACTATATTTCTATTTTATCTAAAAATTTAGATCATTGACTTGCATTCTCATAAGTGATCATTTATACCTTGTCCTACCAACTTATTTTATGCTTTTATTTTTCTTACCATTTATATGTGTGTGTTTTTTTTCTGGTTATCTTGTTCTCTTTTTTATATATTTTTTCCCATCTGGTATAATAGTTAAGTGTGTGGGATCTGGAAATCAAATGTCACCACTAGCCTAATTTTATAATCCCCAGACATGTTGCTATATGTTTGTCTCACATGTATATGTTAAAAATACATGGATTGTCATGTATTTTTAAATATACAAAACATGATAAACATGTCATATATTTATACTCTTTGAAATGACAGACTGAAATCTGTTATCTTAGAGCAATTTTGGGTTTGTAGAAAAATAGAGCAGATGGTCTAGAGCAGTGGTTCTCAACCTTCCTAATGCAGTGACCCTTTAATACAGTTCCTCATGTTGTGGTGACCCCCAGTTTTATTGTTACAAATTGAACATAATTAAAGCATAGTTATTAATCACAAAAACAATATGTAATTATATATGTGTTTTCCGATGGTTTTAGGTGACCCTTGTGAAAGGGTTGTTCGACCCCCAAAGGGGTCGCGACCCACAGGTTGAGAACCGCTGGTCTAGAGAGTTACCATATAACCCATTGTCCAAGTTACTCCACCATTAACCTCTTGCATTAGTGTGGGACATTTGTTGCAACTGATGAAGAAATATTCATACATTATTAATTAAGTTCACATTTATGGTTTTGACAAAGGTCTAATGATATGTATTCATCATTACAGTATTACACAGAATAGTTTCTTTGCCCTGAAAATATCTCTACTCCACTTATTCACCCCTGTATACATTCTTTTGAATTAATATATATATTAATATATATATCTTGACTTTAGAGAGAGAGGAAGGGAGAGGGATAGAGATATAGAAACATCTGAAATGAGAATCATGGATTGGCTGCCTCCTGAATGCCCCCTACTGGGAATTGAGCCTGCAAGCTGGGTGTGTGCTCTGAAGGGGAATGGAACCATGACTTCCCAGTTCATAAGTCTATGACCGGTCTGGGCATTCTTTTGAATCTTGATTTTTTTGCCCTTTTGATGTTCTTGAACATTATAATTTTCAGGGAAGCTTAGTCCATCTGATCTGCTATAACAAAATAGCACCGACTAGGTGGCTAATAAACAACAACCATTTATTTCTCACAGTTCTGCATGCTGGAAGTTCAAAGTCAGATTGCCAGCATTGCTGGGTGAGGGCCTTCTCTCACAGACAGACTTGTATTCTCAAATGGCAGAGGGAGCTCTGGAGCTCTGTGGCCTCTTTTGTAAAAGCACTAATGCTCTCCCCGAGGGTTCTACTCTCGTGACCTAATGACCTCCCAAAGACCTACCTCTTAATTGATCACCTCAGGCATTGGGATTTCAACACACAAATTTTGGGTGGGAGGAGAACACACAGACCATAGCAGAAGGTTATTATCTATTCTCTGATTCATCCATTTTCAGTGTTGATTAGTGTTTCCTCTCCATTGATACACCTTAAATTAATTATCTGTTCTGCTGTTGATAGGGTGTAAGTTGTTTCCAGGATTTTGCTATTATAGATGATGCTGCCTCAATATATTATAGATTCTCTGCCTCATATAATCTCTCTGTGAAAATATATGAGTGTGTCTGCAGGGTGTCCATTTTGAAGGGGAATTAGGGAGTCATGGGATTTTTTAAAAAATAATTCTTTATACTATAAAATGTATTCTAACTACCTCTTTAAATAAAATTTCTATATGAACCTAATGAATCTAACCTAATTTTTACTTTCTGTTCCTCTAATGTGCAACATTCTCTTACCTCTGAGTTTAGTCAAATCCTAACTTTCCTTTTCTCTAACTTCCACCCATCCCCACCTTGATAACCCAGCATTTCTTTCATGCTTCAGTCTTAAGTCATTTCTGTAAGAGACTTCTGACTTGAGCCCACATCTGGATAAATGTCACTGCCTGGTTACTTGGGGAAGGCCTTTGGGTTGGCTATTTCCCACTTGCCTATAGCTAAATTCCCCAAGGTCAGGAAGCAATCAGAGTTCACCCCCCTGTCCCCTGTGCTCAGCATAGTGCCTGACACAGAACGTTGTATGCATGAATGAATGTACAGCTCCAGGGTTATCTCAGCAATGGTGGGAACCAGCACCTTACCTACAAATCACTGACTGGGTCATTACAAGCTCCATTGTTAAATAACAGAAGAATAGGCTTCAAGTATAGAGGACCAAAGATAAGACCTCGGGACCTGGTCATGGACATCAAGGACAGGGCGTGTCAGGTGTCAGGCATGGCCAAGGGAAATGTTCATAAGGAGACATTTTGAGCGAGCACCTGCCTGACTTGACCAGCCAGGAGATCCTCAGATAATGAACCATGAAATCCTGCTATGTGGCAGCACTATGCAATAATTTTTCATTTGCCACCAGTCCGCTTCCAGTCCGCTTCAGGGATCAAGGACAGCAGAACACATAACCGACTCCTGCATGTTATTGTAAAAGCATATTTTAAAGTTACAAATATGGTACATTGAGTTAATGAGGTATGTTCTTGTGGCGACAAATATTTACATTCCACATATGCCCGTGGATGTCAAGAGTGTAAGTGTTTCATTTTCTTTTTCTCAGGAGGCTGGGATGCAGATGGAAAAGGCCCTAGTGTCTGGGACACATTCACCCATCAGGGAGGAGACAGAGTTTTCAAGAACCAGACTGGCGATGTAGCTTGTGGCAGCTACACTCTGTGGGAGGAAGATTTGAAATGTATCAAACAGCTTGGATTGACTCATTACCGCTTCTCTCTTTCCTGGTCACGTCTGTTACCTGATGGGACGACAGGTTTCATCAACCAGAAAGGCAAGTGTTTCTTAAAAATAGAAGGTTGCAGCTTTAATTCAAGGTTATTGCTGCAGCCTGGCATAATTAATCCAGTATGCTATTCTGCCGTGTAGCTTGGAAATTGCAAGTTTGGGGAGTGATTATGGGATACATTTTTTGAAATGGGCTTGCATTAGCTTTCTCAATAATATTCTGGATTCCCTTAACTGCAGATCTTTGTTGGGAGGGGGTAAGGAATAGATGGGCAGGAAGAGGGTTGGAATAAGTGTTTTATCTACATAAGGTCTTATTGGAGTGTTAACTTGAAGGTGAATTTTCAGGAGTTGTTTATACATTGGTTTCAGTTGTGTTGCGTGGGGATGAGTTAGGAAAAGCCCTGGAAAACTCAAGGTGATTCTGAGCATTTTATAGAAGCTGAATTCATGGAGCTAATGAACTAGCACAGAGGCTAGCACCAAGGCATCTGGAGTCTATGTACCAGGGTTAAGAGCTAGATACATCACTTCCTATCTATCTAAGCATTGCTTGGGCATCTCTTGGTGCCTCCATTTCCCTACAAGTAGAAAGGGATACTACAGTTGTTCCTACTTCAAGAGTTGTTGGAAAATGCAATAAAATAATCTTTGTAGTCCTTACACTTGCTGGTATATCATAGAATCATTCGTTAAGTGTTAGCTATTTTTTGTATTATGCCTTGTAATTCAAAGGATGGCGCCCTATTTCAGAGACTGTCATTTATGAGGCATTTATCATATATTTTTTCTGAAAGGTAAACTTATCACACTTAACAGAGGTCCACATCCAAATCCAGATATTTTGCAAATGATGGGTCTGGAAATTAAATCTAAGGTCTTCTTACCTCCTTCCACACAAGAGGGCTGGCAAACGATGACCTGAGGGCCACATTTGGCCTGCCACCTATTCTTGTCAATAAAGTTGTATTACAACAAAGTCATGCCCAATCCTTACATGTTGTCTATGGCTGTTTTCCCACCACAGTGGCAGAATCGAGCAGCTGGGGCTGAAGCATTTAGGCTACGGGCCTAAAATGTTTACTATCTGGTTCTTTACGTGAAAGTTTGTGACCCCTGCACTACAACATAATGGCCTCTTAATAAAGAACCTTTATTGCTACTTTGACTTAGAAAAGATTTTACACTATTCCTAGTGTTGGATGGAAGTGAGGCAAGGGAGGTGCCTAAGTTGCAAAATTTAAGGAGTCATTTAAGATGGGCAATTGCAGGCACCTGAGGGAAGGACCTGCTTGCCTCAGCACTCTTCCAGCCTTCACTGATAGTAAAGGGTCTGTGTGAGCGGGTGATCTGATTCCATACATAGTAAGAACAACATCTGATAACAATTTCTAGATAGCTGTGTGCACTTGCAATGCTCATTTTATGTCAGGTGGGATCTCTACCTTATGACATGGAACCACAGCCCATAGACTCACATGTCACCTAGGGCCTTAGAGTAGCCTCTACTCAATGGGAAAAACATAAGATTAGCAGGTTCATTGCTTGAGTCTAAAGACATTAGCCCTATGACTAACTGCTGTTGGTTGAATGTCTTCTTTCTTGACATCACTAGCAAGTTTTATTTTTTATTTTGAACAAAAGTTAATTTGTTCTTCAGTTTTAATATGAACTCATACTTTTCTACCTTCTTAATCCATCACCTGTATCTTCTCTGTTCTCTGGCACTATCATATCCCCCAGATCTAAAAACTAAGAGTTATCTTTGAATCTTCTCTTTGCATCTAGTTGGTTGTCAAATGTGACCCATGCTACTTATGTCTCTTTAACTTCTCCCCTCCTAGCCATCTTCTCTGCCTCTGCCCTAGTTTAGGTGTTTATCATTCTCATGAAGGACTTTTTGATATATCCTTGACAAGTCTATCTACCTTCATTCTCTTTCTTTGTCTTTTAATTTTTTATAAAAAATGCGACCACAACATTTTTCTAAAGCTTGGCCCAAGTCATTTGGTTTACATCATCCCTGCTAAAAACAAAGCAACCTAAACATATATTTAGTCACCCCAAGCCTCAATGTACAGTCTATACTCCTTCACATATCAGTCTGGGTTTTATTTGACTTAGTCTTAATGCATCCCTGACTCATGACAAGCTGCACTTCCCCCATGTGTATGACCCATGAATTCCCTGAGCTTGCACCCCACAGCTTGTTCAATATACTACATAATTTTCCACCTTTGTCAGAATTTTAAGTTCTTCCTTTTGCCTGAAATGGTCTTTTCTTAACTCCCAGTTATACCCCCTGAATGTCTACCATCCTGTTAAGACCTAACACAAATGTTTCCTCTTTTTAAAAATCTTCCCCTATTCCTAGACAGAAGAAATCTTGTTTTCTATTTTCATAGCACTTTGTAAAACTCTTAGGGTATTTCTCACATTCTTCTCTCTTAGTCTTATCATATCCCCTGTTAGACTGTGAACACATGAGTTGAATTCAATTCAACAATCATGTATTAATTGTCTGTGTGTCAGTTGTGCTTGGTACTCATAACGAAGATATGACAATCCCTTGAATTGCTTATGGTATAATGGGAGATAACTCTGTCTTGTTCATCCCTGTGACCTAGTCCAGTGCCTTTCCAGGAGGAATTCAGTAATCATTTACTGAATTTAATCAAATAAGGTCAATAATAATCATAAAAATCACTCTCAGGGCAAGAAAGGTTGCTTTTAGTGAGATGTACTATGAGACACTCACTGTGCCTATTTTATACCTGCTTTTGTTGATTGAATGCTCCTAATTGTCCTATGAGTGAGAGAATTCTCTAACCAGAGGGTTTCATGGCAACCTGGGTCTGAGCATAAATCTGCTAAAATGACAGGTTTCATTAGGGCTGATTCAACCCTATTTGATGTCAAAAACCTAGTATCTTTTCTCAACCCATTTACAACCTCACGGAATGACTTGTATTATTTGTGCTACAGTTGCCTTGTTGGTAAAATGAAGTAGAAACACTCCATTACTACAATGCTGTACACTATTTTAATCCATGATTCTAGGAGTTTGGAGTTTTCACTGAGCTTCCATTTGGTTGGTAAAAAAACACACACAGAAAACTCAAAAACAGAATGAAAACATAACCCATCAGCTCATACTATAAGTCCATAATTCCTTATCTGAAATTCTAAAATCCAAGTCTCTGAATAATGAATCCTTTTTAGTGAGTTTAGTTCTAAAACTAATTTGGCAGCAAAAGCTGACCTAAATGGATATGAAAAATTTTTATCATCTCAGTTTCTTCTGCTTGATGAGGATATTTATATATTTTACTGCAGAAATATTAAGGGATACTGATTCAGACACCACAAGGGGTGTCAAACTTAATATACGGTATTTCCTTTCTACAATCCAAAATTTTTGAGCACATTGGGCCCCAAGATTTTCAAATAAAGGATGGTGAACATGTACCAATGACAATATATCAAGCTACTTGATACCAACTTCAGGTGGACAGAGTTCATGGAAAACACTGTAAGCCAGTAGTTCAAGGGCAGCAGGCAGAAAAGCTGGAGGGGGTTGGTGGTGGGACTGGAGTCTCTGCGGCCACCTGAACAACGAGGGGAAGTCACTCATGCAAATCTCACATGAGCGTCATGTACCCCCAGCACGGAGCTTCTTGTGTTTGTCCAGCTTTTGTAAAACCATAGCTGATTAATATCACAGGCTTCTCCATGAACAAGAGGGCACTGGAGGTCCTTCCAGGAGGCAGAATTTCAATAAGCAGCTGCTCACTCTTGTGCGGTGATCTGTTGAAGCAATTGGAACCATTTTAACTCAGAAAGGCCATAATTTGTTTTTTTTCTGTTTAAATATTTTCTCAAGGAGCATGAAAAGAATTGGAAATCCCGTGTCACTGTTCTTTCCAAGAACCCCCCTTTGTGTGTGTGTATGTGTTTGACTCCCTATTTTAAAGCTTGATTAGAAGACATTTGGAAGCTTATAAAATCCTGTGTTGCTAAATTGGAAGAATATTTTACAAAATGGAATTGTTACACAGTCTTTCTCTTTCAAATGTCAAGTATTCAAGGTTTAATAAGAAGAGATTGAGCTGGTAACTGAAATCACATATTTCTGTATTTCGCAACTGTTCAAGTGCATTTTCATATCTGCCACAAGTATGAGTTTCGGGTGATTAGTAAGAGACTCAAGTATTAGAAATAAAAGAAAAAGAAATGCTTATGTAGAATTTCTTGTTCACTTTAAGATTTAAAATATGAGCACACTTAGCAGGGATGTTAAGTAAATAAATTAACACCAGAAACTGTTATTGATTTCTTACTCTATGTTGAGCAATGTGGCAGCCCCCCTCCCCAAATTTGTCCACCTCCTAATTCTTAGAAACTGTGAATATATTCTTTTACCTGATATAAGGGACTTTACAGACATGATTAAGGTAAGGGTCTCTTGATGGGGAAATCATCCTGGATTACCTGGGTGCTTCCAGTGTAATCATATACATCATTACAAGAGGGAGGCAAGAAGATCAGGAAGAGAGAAGATACAAGGATTAGAGCAGAGCTCAGAAAGGAGAGAAGATGTTACTGTCCTGGCTTTGAAGATGGAGGAAGGGGCCATGAGCCAAGGAATGAAGGCAGCCTCTAGATGCCTGGATAGGCAAGGAAATGAATTCTCCTCGAAAGCCTTTAGAACAGATGCAGCTCTGCTGACATCTTGATTTTAGCTCAGAGAGAACCATTTTGGATATCTGATGCCAGGACTGTAAGATAAAACATTTGTGTTGTTTTAGGCTACTACTGGGTTTAAGGTGATTTGTTACAGCAGCAGTCGGTGACTAATACAGGCAATGTGCCAAGGGAACCTATTGCAATGAAAGAAATTGGTTGTGTGAGTCTGGAGAAAAGTGAACTTAGAGAATTATCATATGTTTGACACATGTAGCCACTCTATCAAAATTAATTCTGCACTAATACATTTATAGTTTGCCTAGGAGGATTCCAGTTCAATTATGTTTTATACTGAGACATCATTTTTTGCAAATTTCAGCCACACATTTTCCTCAGGGAATTTTCCCAATTTCTTTGTTCTACATAATCCTGCTCCACTCCTGGCCACAGCTGACTGGATGAGGGAAAGAGTTCTTTGTGACATTGGATTTATGTAACCTCATTGAAGAAGGTCATCTTGACCTGTTGGTTTCTTTTTTCTCAGGGATGTTTGGAATTGGGGAGCTGAGAGGCTGAGTTGGTTGGTGGTGGGCCTTTGCAGATGAGGTGGCCATTTTGAAACATGGCAAATTGGATGCATAACAAAAACTGGCTCTGTGAGAAAGCCAGCCATATAGTCGGTGTATCCAGAAAAGCTGGGATGAGAGAGATAAGAATTTCCTGACACAAAGATTTTTTCAGTTCCCAGCTTTGAGTTCCATTTGCAATCATTTCCTGTTATTTGGTATTTGATGTCTCTTGATCATTTCAAAGAATGCTCACTACATCCCAATACCAACCAGTCACTGGCTCCTACTGCCACTTTTATATTTGATTTAATCTGAGTGGGTTGCATTTTTCTTATATCCAAAAGCTCTTTAACTCAAATATGCTTCATAATTAAGAAAGAGATGAGGGTAGTAACAATATAAAAAGACCATGAAAGTGTCAATAATTAAAATAACCAATCCTTTTCTAATATCCAGATGCAGAGCAGGGTCCAAGTGACAGCTAAGGTTTCAAGGTCCCTAGATTGGTAACAGATGATCATTTATAATATGCATTTATATGCATTTATGCAGAGAATTGTATCAGTCTGGTAAAACTAAAGAACACCTTGATGGGTTTTCCTATTTTGATATCACTATACGCACGAGGTGGCACTCTTACTATTCATACTACAGATGAAGAAACTTGGGTGTCGAGAGGCCAGGTGCTTTGTCCATGACCCTTTGACTGAATTGTCTGACTCCGGAGCTCTAATCTTTAAAACCTCCCTCCACTGCATCACGGGAAAGTTTCATTGCAACATCAAATAAACCGTACAGACCAGAAATAAAATGCTCCATTCTAGGATGTTAAGGATTAATTATGAAATCCTTTGTTGTTCAGCCATGCTGATGTGTGAGAAAAAAAAATTAAGTAAATTTTTAATCTTCAATATAACTGAGAATTATCATATAGTTTTAATTACATTGACTGCTATCATTAATGACTATGCCATATCTAATGATGCTTACAGGAGATAAATCATCGATTCCCCCCCAAAAGATAAACAATATCTGAGCCAGATCACCAAAGTAGGTGATTTTTAAGGCTAGAAAAACAGAATCCCTACATTTCTGGTTCTGAAACATCAGTAAATGGGAGAAATGGAATGTCGCTGTGGGAACGGTCAGTCTTTGCAGTGAGACAAATGGGTTTAAATGTTGGCTGTGCCATATGACAACATGGGCACTTTAAGTCCAGTTCTCACTCTCTCAGAACCTCAGTTTTCCCTTATGTTTATTAAGGATAAAAATGCCCACCTCTTGGACTTAAGTATGAAAGCAATAAATAAAAGTTGATATCTTTATATGCAAAGGCAATGGAAGGAATTGGCTCTGTGAACCTTAACACAACCAATTCCAAGATGATTCCATTATACCATCTTTGAATATCCCATTTTACAAATGAGGATGTGTGGGTTTACAGAGGTCAAGAGATAGGATGATGGAATGGTCTTTCATTGAGAGAGAAAAGAAAAATTTTATAAATTTTGGTGAGTGTATTAGTTTTCTATTGATGCTGTAACAAACTACCACGAACTTAGCTGCGTACAACAACACACATGTATTACCTTAGAATTCTGTCAATCCAAATTCTGACAGGTCTGGCCAAGCTGCGTACAGGGCTGTGTTTTTGTTGTTGTTGTTTGTTTTGTTTTGTTTTTCTGAAGAATGCAGTCTTGTTCTTGGCTTTTTCAAGTTGTCAGGAGAATTCAGTTTCTTGTGGTTGTTGGGCTGAAGTCTTCATTTCCTCGATGGTTGTCAGCTGAGCACCATTTTCAGCTTCCAGGGTCCGCCTACATTTCTTGGTTCATGGCTCCCATCTTCCATCTTCAAAGTCAGCAATAATGGGTGGAGCTCATCTCATGTTGTCAGGTTTTCTGTTACCTCTTTCTGACCCACTCTTCTGCCATCCACTCCTACTTCGCAGGACTCCTGTGGTTAGATTGGGCCTACCTGAACAATCGAAAAATCATTCCATCTCAAGATTCTTAACCTTAATCACATCTGCCAAGTCCCTTTTGCTATGTACTAGTAAAGTAACCCATTCACATGTTCCATGGACAACTTGGGGTAGGGTGGGGGTCATATTCTGACTACCCAGTGAGTAATGGCATTCAAGTGGGTCTTCCAAGGATGGAGTTGTTATCCATGATTCACATTATGTTCCAGTTTGCAAAATAAATGAGCCATTGTTTAAAATACCCACTTTTATAAACAGGCAGACAGCACATGACCTCGCATAGTTTGGCTTGTGCTTACCTCTCACCATTCTGATACCTCCTATGATGAGCTGTATGCTCTCCTCATACTGAACTTTCAGTTTCCAGAAAAATCCATATGCTTCTAAGAGAATAAACATGCAAACGACAATGGCCAGGCCATATTTGAGGATGAAATTCAGATCGACTATGAAGCCCAGGAAGGCAACTGGAGACTCTGCAGCAATCACCCTGGAAAAGTCAGAATTTGGTCAACAACTGCCAGCTTCTCTGTTTTTAGGCTCCCCTGACTCCTGTTTCCAATTCAGAATCAAGCAGAGATAGCCAAATATAGTCCCCAAACCAAGTGTTTAAGATGCCCCACGTCTGCCCTGTGCCAAAAACCTCTAATCAGCACGTACACAAAGGTCCCCCCTTTATCACTATAAAACTTTCCCTCTTCCCTGACAGCCTTTGAGTCTCTGCCAAATGCAAGTGCTGATGGCTGACTCCCTCGCTATAGCAAGCTCTGTTCATATTTGGGTTTTTTTGTTGTTGTTGTTTGTTTGTGTGTGTGAGTGTGTGTGTGTGCATGTGTTTTATTTCCATACCTCCTTTGTTCTTTTGACATTTGCTTTCCCCTTTTCTCTTCTTGGATCACCCTTTTCTTTTTGCCTTCTGGGTAACTTCCATTTATCCTTTGAATATCAGCTTAGAGGTCACTAATGACAATAATAATAATAATAATAATAATAATAATAAAATAGTTAGAATGCTGGCTAACCTATCCTAAGCCTTTATCTTATGCCAACAACAGTGCTAAGCATATTCACGTTTTCAACTCTTTAAACTCACATAGCAATTATTGAACTGGGTTTCTATTATTGTTCACATTTTACAGAAAGGGAAAGATAGTTCAGAAAGATGAAGTCACTTGCCAAGGTCACTGAGATAGTGCAGGAGTTGACATAGAATTTAGGTAGCTTGGCATCATGGTTCCCTTTTAAAACTGTCATGCTACATTGCTTTTAGAACAAATTTTCAAATGCTCTCAGTTTGCGATGGGTATTCTTTATCACTGGTTTCAATAGCATTCTGTACTTCGTCTTTAACTAGTAAGACTGTATTGTAATTGTTTATGAATTTATCTAGAGTCCCTACTAAATTATAAGCTCCCTGAGGACAAGGACAGTGTTTCATCTTACATCTATGTTTAAGTCCGGTATACAGTAGCTTCTCTATAAATGTGCATTTAAGAAATGCATAAATTAATGATTGACTGAAGGAAACACATACAAATGTCTATCTTGTTACTTTTTTAAAAAATTGGAGGATACTGTGTTAAAGGAAAGGGAAAGGGACCCTATTTCTAGGCAAACTATTAATGTAACACAATTCTAATATGAATTTATAATTATTGTCCAGGAAACAACCTTTCCAAAGCAAGGATAGCTTATCTCTTCTCAGTGTAGGCTACTTCCTTACTCTTATACTAAAATCACACAAAGTACTATCATCAGCCTCTCCTCCTATAGTCTTTTCAAGTTAAGAGTCATCATCAGTTTGGACCTGACATCATCTTGGCATTGGTTTCTGAGCATCTCTGACTTAATAACACCTCTGAGCTCTGCCACAATCCTGCAAGCTCACTTTCATCACATACCACACTGGAGAGTCAGCAGAAAGCCAGAGCCAGGGGTGGTGTGTATTCCTAAGGACTATGACATAATTTTAGAGCAGACACCCCAACCTAGCATTCCTTAAGGTCCTAACTGTCCTATACCCCACATTCTGGGACAGGTGCTGAGCCTTTGTTCATGCACAGTGCGCTTTTCTTCTTAGACTTTTGAGACTAATGGTTCTGGAGAAGCACTAAGGCAGTTACCTGGTTAAATTCTTTTACTTTATATTGATTACTATTGAGATTTACTCATTCACTCAAATATTTATTGAATATATCTACCAAATTTCCAGTATTATGCCAGGATTTGGGGAATCCAGAGGTAAAATAGACAAAGTTTTTGCTAACAGGGGGTTTGTATTCCAGTGCAGTTAAAAGGCAAATCTCACATATAAAAAATAAACATCTTAAGTCTGTAGCAATAACACAAAGTTATGTGATAGCAACTTGCCCAAATGTATCCCATTCAGAACACACATCTTCCACAATCATGTCACCCCATCACTCTCCCACTCCCTAATCGGCCAGGCCAGTCTTCCTTGGAATTCTTCCTGGTTCCTCTCAGCCTTTAATTGATTATATGTAGGAAGTAATAAACCTTATTTTGAACAAAAATTATTTAGAAAATATTCCTGATCATCTCTCTCTTAAAAGTTATTGCCAACATACTAAAAATAACTTTTCTTCTTATATATCTTCTTTTTTCCTAGGAATTGACTATTACAACAAGATGATTGATGATTTGTTAGCAAATCGGATTACGCCCATAGTGACTCTCTACCACTTTGATTTGCCGCAGACATTAGAAGACCAGGGAGGTTGGTTGTCAGACACAATCATCGAATCTTTTGATGAATATGCCCGGTTTTGCTTTAAGATGTTTGGGGATCGAGTCAAGCAGTGGATCACCATAAATGAGCCTAATATGTTTGCCCTGCTGGCATATGATTTGGGTGCATTTCCTCCTGGTGTACCTCACCTGGGAACTGGAGGCTATAAGGCAGCTCATAATTTGATTAAGGCCCATGCCAGAGCCTGGCACAGCTATGATTCCTTATTCCGAAAAGAGCAGAAGGGTCTGGTGTCCATAGCATTGTTCTGTGGCTGGGTGGAACCAGCGGATCCCAACTCAGTGTCTGACCAGGAAGCTGCTAAAAGAGCCTTAGCTTTCCACTTGGATTTCTTTGCGAAACCCATTTTTATTGATGGTGATTATCCAGAAGTTGTCAAGTCCCAGATCGCCTCCATGAGTAAAAAGCAAGGCTATCCATCATCAAGGCTTCCAGAATTTACAGAAGAAGAGAAGAGGATGATCAAAGGCACAGCTGATTTTTTTGCTGTGCAATATTATTCCAGTCGCCTAGTCAAGTACCGGGAGAACGATAAAGGAGAACAGGGTGTTCTCCGGGATGTGGAGATAGACATTTTTCCAGACCCAACTTGGATAAATGTGGATTGGGTCTATGTGGTGCCGTGGGGAATACGAAAACTACTGAAATACATTAAGGTAAATGCATATTGTTTGTGTCCATGAACACCCAAATATGTGAAGATGGGAAGTCAGGCCTATGTATATGTGTATACGTACCTGAAAAAGAATGATTGTAGGCAATAGCATATACACTCATTGGCCTGGAAAGAGAAGATTAGGAAATAAACTGGCGAGGGGTAACTGGCTGATAAAGGGCTTCAAAACCATGGTCAAAGTTAGGACTCACTGCTAAGTCACCTGTGGCCATAGGAATAGCTTGGGTAATGTTTTCAGGCTGGCGTCCTGGCTGTAATTATTAAAAGGCATTCTAAGGGTTGAAATAGCTGGATCCTTTTTGGGTCTCTGTTTTGCTGGATGGCATCCAGGTAGCTGAAATTAAAATGTCAACTTATCAGTTTTCTGGGCCCCTTCTCTGTGTAGGGGGGATAAAGAGTGTAGCTGTTGGTGGGACCAAAGGGTTAAGGAGCAGTGACAGTCAGCAGATGCTGATGGCAGAAAGATATTTCTGTCTTCCCATTATAACAGGAGTCATTTGACTGTCTTCATGCACATTTGCACAGTTTTGCTTTCCCATTGTTAGTCATAAAAGATCAGTGCGTGGAAAATTAAGTTAATAGGGTCAGTGCAATTTGCTGAAAACTAGTTTGGGGCTGGAGCTTGGAGAAGATAGAGGATAATGCACCTGACTTTATGAGCCATTTTTTTTCTACATCTGTTTGGAATAAAACTTCTGCTCTCTTGTTCCAGGATACGTATAATAACCCTGTAATTTACATCACCGAGAATGGGTTTCCCCAGGGTGACCCCACATCTCTTGATGACACTCAACGCTGGGAGTTTTTCAGACAGACATTTCAAGAACTGTTCAAAGGTACCATTTGAAATGATGAAAGATCAATTGTGCAAACTTATGTGCCTATTTGCATTCAGCAAAGACCAATGATGTTGAAAGCTGAAATTCATGTAAATCAGTGGAAAGCCGTGTAATTAAGAGAGAGGAGAAAAAGTATTTAGGAAAGAGCAGGGTGAGGATTTTGGCCTAGCTTCAACCTCCTAAAATTTAATCAAGTAAAAAGCGACTGTCTTCAGCATTTTGTGACTCCTGGGCGAAGGTGACATGAATAGGAGGAGTGGTGGCAGTTGGGAGAGAACATTAGTTATTACAAAAAGATTAGCATTGACCAACTAGAGCATGCTTATTTGCATATTTTAATATCCTACCTACCAAGAAATGAACTGATAGAATTTTTAAAGGAAAAAAAATTAATCATTTGTGTAATACATTTTAAAGTGGCATGAGACTTCAATCAACATGTTTCATTTAAGCTGTCATCAAGTAGCCCAGTTAGGGACTTTTTTTTTGTCCTATAGATTTTGTGATATTTGTTTCTAGACAATATTATTATTCTGGTAATTTCTTTCCATCATGGAATTCTTTTCATATTTGAAAACAAATGTGAAGTAGTAATCTTTAACTGATAACACACATTTCTAAACTGTGATCCCACCCCCTTTTAGCTACCATTTGGAACACTATTGCTTTATAAATTTAATTTCTCTTCCCTATAGAGGAATCGTATCATAGCAACAAAATCCAATGCAAGATGAGACTTTCAATATCTTTTTTTCTTTTAGCATGTTAGGCATTCCTTCTCTCCCATCATTCTATTTGAAAAGTCCTGAAATGATTCTTTCAAAAATTAATTAGTAATATACTGGAAGCAGCCAGAAGGAATTCTGGAAAGTAACACAAACTGCTTTCTTTCTAAAACCTAAAATATGTTGACTTGGTCCCTCACTCAGGTCTGGACTTTATTGGCAGAGTGCAATTGGATTCCTACAATTTAACCCAAGCAATCTAATCTATTTGTCTTACACAGAAAACATATTCTTCCTCTAGGTGGGAATTCACATTCTGATCAGAAAGGGGAATCTCTCATTTTTTTCTTCTTCCTACTTTTCCCTGTTAATGGGCCCATTTATACTTAATCCATTGATGTTCCCAGCTTCATCCTGAGAGACAAGTAGGCTAGTTACTACCAGGCAGATTTATGGGTGATGCAGGGGCCACAAATGACTTGTCCAAAATTGTTCTGTGTATTTTTGGGAAAGAGGGAAAAACAGGAATTGGCGGTTTTCATCTCCAGCTTAGATGTTTAGTGCTAACCATGTAAGGTCTTTCAATTGCTCTTTAAAATAGTGTTGGGTACTTTACACAGTCCCTGAGATCTGATAAAATCTCAGTGATGAAACCCCAAAATTAAAACAAACGAAGCAATTTCTTCACTGATACAGCTCCTAGAGCAGTTGAAACTAAAGAGAAAATGAACAAATGGGACTACATCAAAATAAAAAGCTTCTGCACAACAAAAGAAACCATCAACAAAACAACAAGAAAACCCACTGCATGGGAAAACATATTTGCCAACGTCATATCTGATAAGGGCCTAATCTCCAAAATTTATAGGGAACTCTTACAACTTAAGAAAAAGAAGATAAACAATCCAATCAAAAAATGGGCAAAGGATCTAAATAGACACCTTTCAAAAGAGGACATTCAGAAAGCCAAGAGACATATGAAAACATGCTCAAAGTCACTAATCATCCGAGAAATGCAAATCAAAACAACAATGAGGTACCATCTCACACCTGTCAGAATGGCTATCATCAACAAATCAACAAACAACAAGTGCTGGAGAGGATGTGGAGAAAAAGGAACACTTGTGCACTGCTGGTGGGAATGCAGACTGGTGCAGCCACTATGGAAGACAGTATGGAGTTTCCTCAAAAAACTGGAAATGGAACTCCCATTTGACCCTGTGATCCCACTTCTAGGAATTTATCCCAAGAAACCAGAAACACCAATCAGAAAGGATATATGCACCCATATGTTCATAGCAGCACAATTCACCATAGCTAAGATCTGGAAACAGCCTAAATGCCCATCAGTAGATGAATGGATTAGAAAACTGTGGTACATCTACACAATGGAATACTATGCTGCTGTAAGAAAGAAGGTACTCTTACCATTTGCAACGGCATGGATGGAGCTGGAGAGCATTATGCTAAGTGAAATAAGCCAGTCAATGAAGGAAAAATACCACATGATCTCAGTCATTCATGGATAATAAAGACCATTATAAACTTTTGAACAATAATAGATACAGAGGCAGAGCTGCCTCACACAGATTGTCAAACTGCAGCGGGAAGGCCGGGGAGGGTTGGGGGGCAGGAGGGAGGGGGTTAAGAGATCAACTGAAGGGCTTGTATGCATGCATATGAGCATAACCAATGGACATAAGACACTGGGGGGTAGGGGAAGCCGGGGTATTGTCAAGGGCGGGGGGGAAAAAAGGACACATATGTAATACTCTTTGTAATGCTTTAAGCAATAAAAAAAAAGGAAAAAAATAAAAATAAAAAATAAATAAATAAAACAAATGAAGACCAAAAATAATTGAAAATTGAAAGCAAGAGTGGAAAATGTGAGTTGGGTTTCTGAAGGACAGGAGAATGGAATAGGGTTAGGGAACAAACTTCTGTTTTCAACTTGTTGATTTTATATTTTGTTTAAATTGATCGACAAAGTACTGTGCACTGAAAACATTGATTGTTCAGAGCATCTATGTTCTCTGATTTTCAACATTAGATGATCTATATTCATCGTAATTAACACATAATGCTGTATTTATTTGGCTTTTTAAAAATATCACTTTCAAAAAGTACAGAATTCTACATATTGACAGTAAACTCATACATATGTGTATATATTCTGGACTGGGTGTAGTAATAGCTATTTTTCATATATTGTTGCAGTGGACACCAATTATTTCATCTGTCACAAAACTCTTTTCTTGTAACTAATCCTCTTTCTTCTATGAAATACCCACCTTCCCCATCCTCAGGCTTACCCATAGGGACAGCCATGTAAGTAGAATAAAATACTGCTCCTTGTCAACAGATAATTGATTGGTCTAGATGTAGGCACATGGCATGAGCTGGGCCAATCCCATTTCTTCCCTTGGACCAATCAGTTTGCTTGTTTTTTTCGCTTGAGTTGGTGGGGGATGTAACATTGGAGGCCACTGGTGGCCATGTCCTGCCTCTTCAGTTTATGAGCAATGGGAAGGACTGCAGATGCCTCAGGGGAAGTGGCCACAGAAAATGAAGAGAAATTCATGATGGCACTTGGGCCTCTAGTTCCAGTGTTTCCTCAACCCAGCTGTGTATATGTTCTTGAGGTACATTACTTTTATTTTTAATTATGTGCTCTTTCTGCTTCACCTGATTCTGATTGGGTTTCTATCACTTGGAACAAAATGAGTCTTAATTGACTCCATCTCATTTCCTTTTCAAAAGTTATGCGAGGTCACTGCTCCTACTTTAAAGATGAGAAAACTGAGTTTCAAAAAGGCTAAGTCATTTGCTCAAGATCACAAAGTTACTGGGTAATTTTTGCTGGAAGAAGGTAGGATGTGAGCATTATTAGTAGTAGTACTGCTACTATTTAGGTGTTTGATAAGGTCTGCTTTCTGACTCAGAGAGCTTGTTGTCCCACCACACAGAACCTTTTGCTCACCTTTGGCGCTCTTTGCTGACGTGGAGTCTTTGAGAGTGCTCCATGCTGCCTCTACATGAGCTGTTAGGTCCTGTGACCTTGGACAGAGCTCAGACATCCCCTATCCTGCCTGCTATCACAGGAGTAGAGCTTTGCTTACTAATGGAATTCCAGAGATTCCTTGGAGGTAGCACTGATGATCTTGATTGCTGAGTACTTTCTTAGTAAAAAGCACACCATCAGCAGTTCAAAATAATAACAGGCCAACGAAGACATTCGTGGGAATTGCTGCAGGTGAGAACCCACCAGAACCCAGGGAGTCAGATGGATGATGGCTTTGTGATTTCCATGAACAAATCCTTCTCTTCAGCATCGCGCATATGGACAGGCACATAACGACACTATAGTTGGATCAATGGCATCCGCTTAGAGGTCTTACTGATCTCTCCAGGTAAAATCCCCAGCAGTTAATTGGGGAGTAAAAAGTAAGATAATGCTTCTGTCTCCTTTCGGGAAAAGAAAAGAGTAAAATGTCATTTCACAGAGGGGAGGAAAGGAAGTCAGCTAATGTCTTTTTAATTGTTACATTATTTAAATGCCTTTAAATAGGCTGTGTTTTAATTAGTGTAGATATAGATAAGAGTAAAGCAAAACAGTGAAGACACCAAAAACTTGAAATAACACACGACTAGGCTTGCATTCCAGCTCTGCTAAATATTCAATGAGAGGCATTAGGCAAATTGTTCACCCTCCCAAACTCTTACTTAGTTCATCTATAAAAATGGGATAACACTTCCCCTGGTGTGGTAGTTGTAAAGGCTTCATTTAATGAGCTATTGTGGAACCTCCCCCTAGCAATTGCCTGACACATTGTAGGCCCTCTACCAATGGTAATAATTATTTTTACAAAATGTGCATTCTTAAGAATATATTTATCACCTCGTTATTTTAAAAATGTCATTCTAAGACATTTTTTTTAACTCACCCCACCACCAAGTCTCTAAAAGTTACAGCAGAATATTCCTCCTGTCGACATGTTTCTCTGTCATTCTTTCTGGGGAAGCTCTGAATGAGTGTTGTAACATTGATGGTTGAGTCCTGTGGAGGAGGAAGCAGCAACCACCTCCCTTCCTTCATTATTTCCATCAGAGAGGTCGCCAGATTAGGTGACAATCACGTCATTGACAGCAGAAACAACTGTCAGGCACCTGGGTAGCTGGATGGCTCTGCCACGTGAATTTCTGTGGAAGTTCAGGAAGCAGTGATCTTCAGAGTTTAAGTTTTCTCAAAACATAGGAATCTTCATTCTCTCC